TTCTAACATTTCTTCTGTTGTTGACGATGTAATCACTTGAGACTGTTCTACAACGGGCATACCTAGCATTCTCTGCTCGGCTATGTGTTTAGTTGCTTCTTCTAAGCTTTTTACGACTTCTTTTGTTTCCTTTTCCGTAGCAGTAACTTGAATAACTTCGACACTTTCGGAAATGCGGAATGAAACATCAGCCGTTGTGCTTGGCGTTTCTTTATCGGGGAGAAGTAAATGTTCGCTTTCATGAAGAATTGATTCAATCTGCTGTATACTCTCAAACGGTATTTGTTCCGGTATTATTCTTTTTATTTCAGGCTTAACGGATTCTGTAATTTCTTCCGTTGTTGACGACGCAATTACCTGAGACTGTTCTGCAACTCGCATACTGAGCATACTTTGCTCGGCTGTCTGTTTAGTTGCTTCTTCCAAACTTTTCATGATTTCTTTCGTTTCCTTCTCTGTAGCGGTTACTTGAATTATTTCGACACCTTCAGAAACGCGGAATGTAACGTTGGCCGTTGCGGTTGATGTCGCTTTATCAGGAACAAGCGAACTTTCTCTTTCATGAGAAATCGATTCAATCTGCTGTATGCTTTCAAACGGTATTTGTTCCGGTATTATTCTCTTTATCTCAGGCTTAACAAACTCTGTCATATCTTCTGTTATTGATGACGTTATCACTTGAGACTGTTCTGCAACGCCCATGCTTGGCATGCTCTGCTCGGCTATTTGTTGATTTGCTTCTTCCAAGTTCCTTATTACTTCTTTTGCTTCTTTCTCCGTAGCGGTTACTTGGATAATTTCGACTCCTTCAGAAACATGGAATGAAACATCAGCTGTTGTACTTGGTGTCTTTTTATCGGGAAGGAGCAAACGTTCGCTTTCATGAGGAATTGATTCAATCTGCTCTATAGTCTCAAATGGTATTTGTTCCGGTATAATTTTTTTCGTCAGAGGTTTCGCAGACTCTGTCATCTCCTCCGTTGTTAATGATGCAAGTGTTTGCGATTTCTCGGCAACGCGCATGCCCAGCAGACTTTTTTCGGCTACTTGCTTAGTCGGTTCCTCTGGAGTGGATAATCCCTTTTCGGCTTCATTGTAAGTTACTTCAAAGATCGACAATGGCATTAGTTCGTCTAAATTTAGTTTACCTTTATGCTCTTCGGAAACTTGTGATTTTGCAAGTTCTTCGACGTTACTCACTGTCAAAACTTCTGACATCTCTGCGACTTCTATGCTAGATAATTTTGGCAGAGCTTTTTGCGATTTTGGAGTGTCCTGTGTCGGTAATTCTTGTTCTGTTTCCGTAAAAATTACTTCAGACACAGTAATACAACTCATTTCTTCAACATCTGGTTTTCCCTTTTGTTCATCTTTTTTCTTCAACTCGGGTATATTTTCAACGGCTGCGGCGGTTACAATTTCGATTTTTTGAGCTATCTCTCTACCTGAGAGACGTGGTGTGGCTATTTTCTCATCTAATATTTCTAAACTCGGCAATTGTGTTTCCGTCTCGGTAGATATTACTTGAGAAACCATAAGTGACGAAAATTCATCCAATCGTGGTTTACCTTTTTGTTTTGCTGGACTTTCGAGTCTCGAAAGTTCTTCGACATTGCTAACAGTGAGTACCTGAGAAGTCTCGGCTATTTCTCTACCAGACATCATGGGCATTGCTGTGAGTCCACTAGGTGCATCGCGACTCTCGAAAGTTTCTTCGGTTTCGTGAGATAATACTTGAGATATTGTCAAGGAGGATAATTCTTCTACTTGTACTTGCCCTTTACGTTCGTCGGGTGGTACTTGTTTTGAAAGTTCTTCTGTACTCATCATCATTAAAATTTGACTTGTTTCGGCTACATCTCTACCAGTTAAATTAGTTTGCGCCATTTTTTCCGTGGGCATCTCTGGGCTAGGCAGTAGAGCTTCCGCTTCATTGGATACAATTTGCGTTATACTTAAGGATAATAACTCCCCGAGATTTGGTTTTCCCTTTTGTATTTCGGGCTTTTGAAGTTCAACCAATTTACCTAGGCTTGATATAGCCGTTATTTCCGTAGTTTCTGCTACGTCTCTGCCACACAAACTTGTTTGCGCCGTTCTCTCGGTCGGTACTTTGGGACTGTCGAGAATATCTTCTGCTTCTTGAGATTCTATTTGTGAAATTGTTAAAGGCGTAAATTCGTCGAGGCTGAGTTTACCTTTCTGTTTCTCGGTTTCTTTTTTAGGAACAAGTTCTTCGGCATTAGTCATTGTTACGGTCAGTATCGTTTCCGCGATATCTCTACCGAGCAAATTTGGTTGCGCTTTGATTTTCCCCTTGGGAAGCTCAGCGCTAACTAATATTTCTTCGGCCTCATTAGAAATTACTTGTGAAATGGTTAACGGAATTAATTCATCGACTTGTCGATTACCTTTTTGTTCTTCAGGTCTTTCTGTAGCAAGTTCATCGGTCTCGGATATTGTTGTCACTTGAATTATTTCGGCGATTTCTCTACCAGAAATATTAAAATCAGCCTTGCGGTCTTTTGGAATAACTTTACTAGCTAGGACATCTTCAACTTCATTGGAAATAATTTCGGAAACGGTCACAGATGATAATTCTTCGAGTCCTGGTTTACCCTTTTGTTCGTATAATTTGGTAGATTTTGCAAGATCTTCAGTTGTATTTGCTGTAACTATTTGAAGAATTTCCGCGGCTTCTCTGCCTGTTAAGCTTGATTGTGCCTGGTGCTGTTTTGGTGTAACAGCTTCAGGTAAGATGTCTTCGATTTCATTAGAAGCTATCTCAGTAATTACAACCGTAGTAAGACTTTCGAATTGCGGTTTACCTTTCTGCCTCTCGGGTTGAAACTTGCTCTCAAAAACGTCCTCCCTTTCGGCTGGCGTTGTTTCTGACCTCACTATTGTTTCCACCGTGGTCTGAATGAGTTTTGCTTGAGAGGGAAGTGGTTTCTCCTCAGAGAGCTCTCGAGTACTTTGTATACTTTCCACGAAAGAACCTTCGATAGTTTGGAATAAATTGATATCTGTCGTAGCTTTGACTTCAGTTCTCTTTGAAGCTATATCTAATACCTTTTCTTTGTCTTCGACAATTGTTTCTGAAACCTGTAATGGCTTTATCTCTGTTACATCGATATTTGCTTTTTGTGTCGCAGGTTTAAAAAGACCATCGAAAGTCTTCTCGCTTTCTTCGGCAATATTTTCATTAACAATAATACTTTCAAACGTATCTCGGGCTGGCGTAGCAATCTGAGGTATTGAAATGTAACCGGGAGGTTGTTCAGGTACATCGACTCGTGATTCCACCATCGTGGTCTCTATCATACCGTGTTCGGTAACAATAGTGTGGACAGCTGTTTGTGACATTTCATGTTTTTTCTCTCTCAGTGACGCTTCGATTTCGCCAGATGTTATCTCCGTGATAAATACACCATGATCCTCTTCGAATGTTGGCATAGCTGTGCTAAATATTACCTTCGGGTACTTATCAAAAGTGCCTTCGCTTTCCGCACTTGGAACTTCATGGACAACGATAGATTGAAACGCATCTTGCTTTACGTGGGCTTCCGCTTGTACCTTTTCAAAAGGTTTAACCAATCCGGTATTTTGCTCGATAAATATTTGTGTTTTTTGTGCAATATCTATGCCAGGTTTTATTAGTTTTACTTTTGCCATACTCTCTTCATATTTCGGAATATTCATCGTTTCTTCTTTGTCTTGTGTTACGATATGATCTACAGTAATACTTTTCCCTTCAACGAAGCTAATCTCGGCGCTACGCTTATCAGACTTGAATTTGTCACTAAATATTGCGCCTTGCTCTTGAGGAACTGTTTCGCTGACATCAATACTTTCCAAAGTAGAGTGTGTTCTATGTGCTTCGCATATAATCGGTTTCAGTGCCACAGGTAATTCTCCAAGTCCTTCGCGTAAATTAATTTCCATTCGTTCGGCTACTTCTTTACCTTCCATCAAGAGATTTGCCGCCTCTTGGCGAAGTTTTTTCGCAGCAAATTCCTCTTCCACGTCTTGAGCATTAATTGATTCTGTAATGGCGACGAATCTATTTTCATCTAAAACAACACGTGCTTTTGTTTTTGTCAGTGGCGTTTCCCGAATCCTGTTTATTTCTCTCTCCACAAGAACTTGTTCGGTCAGTTGTACTGTCTCAAAAGGTTTTTGGCCAATTAGCGCGGTTACTTTTGTCGGTGCTACAACTTCGCTCATTTCACCTGTGCTTGAACTGGGAATTATTTCAGATTTCTCGGCGACTTCGTGGCCAGGAATAATAACTGAAAATGCCGAGCGAGATTTGTCTTCTCGTAACGTTTCGAGGGGAGCTTCTTTATCAGCCATTTTAATTTCTGTAACAGAGGTAACGCTCTTGCCTTCTTCAACAGATAATTCTATTTTGTGTACTTCTGGCATGAATTTATCTTCGAAGGGTTTTTCTCGATCTTGAATCATGCCTTCAGTCACTAAGAGACTTTGATATACTTCGCGTGTAGACGATACTGTTTCCATGTTTGGCTTTTCGATGGCTACTTCCCCTGTGGAATGTCCGATATCTACCGCAGTCGTTTCTGCTATACTATAAGTAGCATCGATATTAAATAAAGCAACGCGTTTACGAGGTTGTTCCTGGGCGACATACGGCGATTCTTTATCCGCCGGTGTTATATGTGCTGTACTCGCGATTGCTTTGCCTTCTTCCATATTGACGTTTACAGTTTTATTTTCCGGTATTAAAGCTGGTGTAAATTGCCCTTCCTCTTCTTGAATAATAGGCTGTAATTCCATTAGCGGATTAAAAACTATGTGATCTGAAATTGCGATGGCAGCCAGTGGTGCTTCGCCAATAGCAATTTCACCAGTACTAAAATTAGCAATTTGCATTGTTGTTTCGGCGACGCCATGAGTTTCGATTAGAGTTTTCTCCGCTATTTTCGCTTTCGGTATTTCTTTTGGCTTATATTCAGTTTCTTTATCCTCCAAGATTACAGAAGATACCTGCACACTTTGTTCCATTATCATGGAAAGATCAGCTTGAGCCACGGATGGTATTTTATCTTTCCCAAGTATAGCCTCCGCTTCTGTTGGCTGCGTTTCCGTTGCTACTATTGCTTCTAATGGGATACTTGAGAAAATAGCTGAAATAGAAGTCGGTTTTGTCTCCATCAATTCTCCAGCGCTGGAATCTGGAGTGACTTCGCTCTTCTCAGCAATAATATGTCCGGCAAATTGAATCCCGGCTCTTTTCTCCGTAGGTCTTTCGGGAATTTGGAGAATATCTTCCTTTTCGCCTAAAATCTCGGTAGACATAGTTGCACTAATAATCTCATCGATGGATATTTGAGCCGTGTCGGTTTTGGTTGGTTTATCCTGAAATTCTATTTCTGTTTCTGTTGCAACAGTTTCGCTTTGAACGATACTCTCAAACGGCAAACGTTCCTCTTTTGCAGCTGCTCTCATTGGTGTTTTCACATCAAAGTCTCCTAGATAAATGGCCGGTGTAACTTCAGTGAGTTCGGCGATTTTATGCGCGTCAAAGCTGGTAGTAACTTTTTCACCGATGATATCCGGTTTCTTCAAATATTCTCGCTCCTTGTCAGACGCAATTGTTTCAATTACTGTTACGCTTGTTTCTTCTTCGAATGACACGTCGAGTTTCTTCTTATCTGGTTTGACGAAATCAAGCATAGGTTGTTCTGAATCACCAGTTGACATTTCGGACGTAACAATACTATGATGAGTGATGTGCTCAGTCGTAGCCATTGCGGAGATCGTCTCTTCGCGTTTTAATTCGCTGATATTATCGGTCGCGTTTACTTCAGCAGCTTCTGCCACGGTATGAGTAGGGATATCCAAAATAGCAGATTTCGATTGTGGTTTCTCCATTTCTGCTAGCGTGCTTTCTTTGTCACCCGCTGTTACAGAAGAAACAATAAGGCCTTCACCCATTACAAATTCAAAATTAGCTCTCTTCTCTGGCACTGGCATATGATGAAGAGGCTTTTCAGTTTCTCTTGTTTGCACTTCTTCAGCGACGGCTGTTTCAAATGGTAATAATGTCGTTTTAGGACGTGTTTCTTGAGTAGGTTTGGCAGATAATTCAGTTGGAGCGACGTCACTAACAATCTCAAATGTCGATGCTATGTTCTGTGTTACTACGTCAATTGTAGCTTCGGCTGTTTTTGGCGCTTGCTTTTCATCAAAGATATCTTCTTTGTCCTCGGGATGCGTAATTTCAATTGTCAGACTCTCTCCTTCTTGGAAAGTAATACCTACCTTTTTAATATCAGGTTTTATATCAGTTTCTAAAGGAGATTCTTTCTCAGATACCGATACTTCCATTTGTTGTACAACGTCTAGTCCGCTTTGCAATTGGTTGGCACTTTCCTGACTCGGTTTTTCTTCTTTCAATGCACTTAGAGTGCTCGCAAGAATCATCTCCTGTGTTTCGGCTATCTCATGGCCTTCAGTTATGTCTAACACAACCTTTCGTTTGTCTGGCAACTTTTCCACTGACAATTCTTCTTCCTTCAGTACGGTCGTTACTTCTGTGACGGTCAGTTTTTCAGATCGAGCGCATACTTGAACTGCGGCGTTTTGTTTAATAGGACTTGCATCATCATCCCTGATTCGCTCCGCTTCGCCGACATTTGTTTCAGTTACTATCAACTCTTCCAGAGTTTCTTGTTGTACTATCGCTTTGCCTGATTTTGGTAGGTCACTGCTTATCTTTCCAGCACTTTGTTCCACTAAGATTTCTGCCTTCGACGCGATGATGTGACCAGTTATGGACGATTCAACCGTATGGGTCTCTGGTCCAGTATCCGGTGTGTAAACGTTCTCGAGATCATGTGGAATTATTTCTAAAACGCTGGCACCAGGCCTCGTTTCCGTGAGTTCGATGTTCGCTATTTTTCCCTCGGGTTTTACATCCGCTTTATAAACGTCTTCCTTTTCTGCGGTTTCTTGCATAACGATGCTGATAGTTTCTATAGGAACGTGAGATGGATATGCTTTTCCACTTACAGGTTGGTCTACCACTAGGTACTCTTCGGTCGGCGATTCTGTTCTTACTTGTTCGCATATCGGAGCCACTTGTGTCATATATTCAGTATTTGCAAACGCACTCTTAACATCGGTTGTTTCAAGATATTCGGTTTCTTTCTCCCCCGCTACGATCATTGTGGTGTGCAAGCTTTCAATCTGGTTCATCGAGATTTCGGCGATCATTGTTTCAGGACTCTTATCCTTCCTCGCCGGAGCTATACCTTCCGCCGCAACAGTTTCGCCAACGATCATTTCTTGCAGACTGACCGCTTCGATTTTAGCTATAGCAGTTGGTAAGGCTTCTTTCGTGACTTCACCTAAATCATTTTCAGGTTGAGTTTCCTGAACTTCAAGGGAGATCATTGGATGAGTGGGCACCGTTTTCCCGCGATGTGATTCAGGCATTTCAAAGATTTTCAGTTCGGCTTCTTTTTCTATAGAAGTAGTCTGCGATATCTCGATACCTCTGACAGCGTCGTAGACCGTCTCGATCGTATGGATTTCCGGTTTAGCATCTTCCTTCATACTGGCCTCTCGATCATGAGTGAGCGTTTCGAGGACAGTTTTCGCTTCGGTCAACTGAATGGATACGACACCGCTCTCTGAGACGTACTTGAGCGTGTCTTTTAAATCCGCGGGATAATCCGCGGTTTGAACTTGAGATATCAAGATGTGTTCTTCCGGTCTGACCGACGTTTCCGCCAGCACTTCGGATGGTTTTTGATCGACACTATAAGTTCCTTCGGATTCTTGAACAATTGTGTCTGTAATAGAACCAATCTCCAATGGAGAGATCGACGTAACGGCCAGTTTAGTAGTAGGCTTTTCTTCGGGACGATAGTCTCGTTCTTTTTCGGAAGTCATCGTCTCTATCGTCACAGCTGACATAATTTCAACAATATTTAAGTCGGCCGTGACCTGTTTGCTCTCTTCGATTGTTAAATCGTCCTCTTTTTGTTGAGTATCGATTGTTGATATCGCGACTCCTTCCAGAAAAGTGACATTTGGTGTAGCTTCGAAAGAATCTACTTTACGCTCGGGAATGTATTCCCCTTCACGCTCCTGCACGAGATCGTGACGAATAATAGCTGTTTCGTTCCCGTAGGATATTCCGATTTGAGCTGTTTGACTCGGCGGTAATCTACCTGGAATGTATGCCCCTTCTTTTTCGGGTGCGTTCATCTCTTCGGTAACGTGTTGTCGTTGCGAGATTATCGTTTCGGTAGCGATTTCAGTAGGTACTATCAATTCCGGATAATATTTTCCTGGTTTATCTTCGGAATGAATCTCTTCCACCATTAACGGTTCAATTGCATTGACGTTAACTCGAGGTTTTGTAAGTATCGTTTTAACAGGTTCTAATTTATCTTCAGTCAAACCTTCCTGTATCTCATAAACCGAAAGTGATATTTGCGGCAAGACAATATCCTCCGCCTTAGCGCTTAAGGGTGTTATAAAATCGTCGGTGGGTATTTCGCTTTGATTAACTATGGTCTCTCTAACAGTTGCGGCTTCCTGCACGGTGACCTGCACGTCTGCTTTTCGACTCGTTTCTGGTGTGGTCAAAGTTAGATTTGATATACCCTCATCGTGAGCCAGTGTTTCGCTGATGAGAAGACTTTCTTTCATTATTACAGAAGGTGTAGCTTCGTAAGAAGTTGCCTTGAAGGAGCCAGAGAAATCATCAGTAGATATATGTGCAGTAGTTTCTGTGGTTGAATATGGTTCTATAGATGAGATTGATATTGACGCTTTACGTTCGATAGGTTTGACCCTCGTCACTTGGTCAATTTCTTTTTCATGTACCGATGTCATTTGTTCCGTTAGCGCGATAACAGTGTTTAATGTGTATTTAGCTTTTTCAAATTCAGGTTTGCCAGGTGCTTGCTCGATTGTTCGGTCTAATGGTATTACTTGAGTTCGCTGGCTAGATACATTCAAAACCATAGATGGCAATAGTTGATCCTTTATTACTTCAAATTCTTCTATCTCTTCCAGTTGCATCTCGTCTTTACCGATATTTGATCTTTTTGGTGTTAACGTCTTTCTAATTTTATCAACTGTTTCTTCCTCCTCCTCTATGTTTATTTGTTTTTCTTCATCTTGCTTTTTCTTACGAATCAATCTGCCCTTTGAGTCCCGTTCGAGTTCAATAACCTCTTCTTCAATTTCTTCCCTTTTTCTTTCTTTTTCAATCTCCTCGACCTCCTCGATTTTTATTAATTGAACCCCCTCTTCCCTATCTTGTGTTGTTTCTTCAATTTGATTCCTTGGTTTTCTGTCTTTGCGTTTGCGCAATGTTGTGTGTGCCTGCCGTGTGTCCTCGTATTCTGTGGAAAGTATGTGAGAATTTTGTGTCAGACGTGAGTGTTGCGTGATGTTTTTACTTTTGCGTTCTCTCTCTCTCTCTCTCTCTCTCTCTCTCTCTCTCCCTCTCATTTATTCATTCATTTGTTCTTTATATCTTGCATACTTTATTTCACGACTAAAGAGCGTGTATTTGATTACGATATGTGCTCAACAAACAAACAAACAAATAACAAGTGTTTGGATTTTCAGAAACGTGTGAATGTAGAATTTTATTGTAAATAAGTTTAATAGAATGTAACATTTATTAATCGTATGATTATGCTAAATTCTTATATCTCATACTATTTTGTGTTGAGCAAAGTATCGATAAATGTATAGAACTTACATTGCAAGGCACAATCGGTGTAGCGCGAGTGAGCATCGAGTCGCAAAGCATTGATTTCGAAGTTGACATGGAAAGTGGCTGATTAAAATGCGAACGGTGAATATTGTGTTATATAAGGTAGTAGGATTTATCGCGTGTGGAAAGCATAGCGGCATAAGCAAAAAAAATTGCATAGCTATTATTCGATCAAGCAAAGCTTCATACATCTGAAAGCATAATAAAATAGTGATCGTTACAGCTGTGAATATCGTATCTTAGTATACAGTTTTTGTTTTTCTCTGTGTATTAATATTTATATTTCGCATATAAGTATTTTAAAACTAATATAATAAAAATATCATAAGAAATATGGTATTGATTAAAACTTTAATTTCTACCAAAACTAGTAATTATAGCATAAAGATAGATTTAAGCATATTGCTTTTTTATATATCTATCAATCCATTAATAGAGACTTATGTCCATCCTGAATCAAATTAATTAGCATTACTAATATATAGCGTTAATTGTTCGCTGACGGTAAAACTATAATAAAATAATTGCAATAGCACTGCTTATATTATAACGAGAAACCAATTCGTCAAATTGGTAAGTCATACAAATAGATATCTCGTGCGTCGAAATTTATTATTCCAAACCTTTAATTTCTCGAATATCCTGTACATGAGTAGCTTTCCTTTCATCTCTTCTTTCTGTAATCAGATAATACTTATTCTTGTGGATAAAATTTAGGACGATTCAATCTTTATACAAAAAACAATAATATGCTCAATGAAAATATTGAAAGAAGTTTCAAATAAATTCGAATCTCGTGCATATGTATAAAGAACTTGAGATTATATGTACACACACACACACACACACACACACACACACACACACACACACACA